CCACAGGGGGGGGGGGCACCGCAGCGCAGCACCACGCCACGCCCACAGGGGGGGGCGGGGGGGACCATCGCGCGGGGGGGGGGGGCCCAATGGCATCAGCATTGGGGGGGCCAAGCCCTGGACCATTTATGCTCGAGTGTCCAATAACGCGTATTTCCCAAACCCTCGATACCCGCCCACTTCGTCTTCGATCGAACCCCTTTTGGGGGGTATACCTTTCTTCCCTGCAGGCCGGGCCCCGGCATGCGGCGGGGCGGCCGCGGACCGTCGGCCTGGCCAGCGGCAGCCCTGATCGGCGGGGCGGCCGCGGACCGTCGACCCGACCCCAAGAGGGACGGACACGGGACCGACCACGACGACGACGACGACGACGACGACGACGGCGACGACGACGACGACGACGACGACGACGACGTCGAAGACGACGGCGGCGACGACGACGGCGACGACGAACGAAAGCGAGAGCGAGAGAGAACGACAGCAGGGCCACGAAGGGCACGAAGTAGGCCACGAAGGGCGACAGCGGGGGACACGAAGGGAATGCGTATGGGGCCACGGAGAACGCGAACGAGCGGGGGCCATGAAGTGCAGATAATGCGGGGCCACAGAAGGCAACTATGGAGCCACGGAGGGCAGCAACTGGGCCACGTAGGACAGTGACGGGGACACAAATGGCGACAGCGGAGCCACGAAGGGCATGCACATGGGGCCACAACGGGCGCGACTCCTGGGTGCCTGGGTGTCGGGAGCGCGGCGCTTGGGCAAATCCCACCAGCCCTTTAGGGCGTAGGTGGTTTAGGGAGTTTCCTCTGCCAACCCCCTTCTTCCCCTTCGGGGAGGGGTTTACCCCTCCCCTTACCCCTCCCCACTGACCTGGACGGGGCGTTCCGCGGGTCGTTGGGACGCCCAAGATGGCTCAAGACGGCTCCAAGAGCGAAAAAGCGAGAAAGCACAAAACATTGATTCTACCTAGGTTTTGGAAGGATTTTGGCCTCTTGGGGGGGCCCAAGAGGCGCTTCGAGGCACTCTAGAGGGGCAACCCTAATTGGAGCTCCCCCCTTCTTTGATAGATCTCCTCCAAGATGGCCCCAAGAGCGCCCCGAAGGCTCCCAAGAGCGCCCCAAGAGCGCCCCAAGAGGGCCCCGAGAGACCCCAAGAGGCCCCCAAGAAGCCTCTAAGAGGCTGCCAAGAGACCCCCAAGAGGCCCCAAGAGAGTTCAAGATGGCCCAAGACGGCTCCAAGAGCGAAAAGGCGAGAAAGCAACAAACAATGATTTTACCTAGGTTTTGGAAGGATTTTGGCCTCTTGGGGGGCCCAAGAGGCGACTCGAGGCACTCTAGAGGGGCAACGCTAATTGGGGACCCCCTCTTCTTTGATCGATCTCCTCCAAGATGGCCCCAAGAGCGCCCCGAAGGCTCCCAAGAGCGCCCCAAGAGCGCCCCAAGAGCGCCCCAAGAGGCCCCAAGAGGCGCCCAAGAGGCCTCCAAAAGGCTCCCAAGAGACCTCCAAGAGGCCCAAGAGGCTCCCAAGACGGCCCAAGACGGCTCCAAGAGCGAAAAGGCGAGAAAACACAAAACATTGATTTTATAGGTTTTGGAAAGATTTTGGCCTCAAGAAGGGCCCAAGAAGCGATTCGAGGCACTCTAGAGGGGCAGCGCTAATTGGGGACCCCCCCTTCTTTGATAGATCTCCTCCAAGATGGCCCCAAGAGCGCCTCGAAGGCTCCCAAGAGCGCCCCAAGAGCGCCCCAAGAGGGCCCCAAGAGGCCCCAAGAGGCCCCCAAGAGGCCTCCAAGAGGCCCCCAAGAGACCCCCAAGAGGCCACAAGAGGCTCCCCGAGATACGCAAGAGGCCCCCGGGACCGCCAAGAGGCCCCAAAGACGGCCCAAGAGGCCCCCAAGCTCGCCATTGTCCTCCTCCTCCTCTTCTTTTTCTTCCTCCTCCCTCCTCCCCCTCCCCCTCCTCCTCCTCCTCCTCCTCCTCCTCCTCCTCCTCCTCCTCCTCTCCTTTTCCTCCTTCTCGTCCTCGCAGTTCTCCATATCCTCCTCCTTATCTTCCTCCTCCTCCTCCTCCTGCTCCTCCTCCTGCTCCTCCTCCTGCTCCTCCTCTTCCTCCTCCTACTCCGACGACGACGGCTCCTCCTACATCCTCCCCCTCTTGGGGTATATGGCGGCTCACCCCGCCCTTTGTTCTTCTGCATGCTCCCCCGCTTCCCTCATAACCTCCACTCCCCTGGGACTCATTTCTGGACGGGCTGGTGGGGATACGCGAAGCGTCTAGAATTATACGAAGTTCCAACGCAAGGCCATTCTTCAGTAAGTTGCAAGCAAATCACCAGCGAGAGCGCGACTCCAGAGCGCCGGGAGAACGATTCCTGCATAAATTGTACGGAATAAAATGCGATTCCTGAATCAAATGCGAGGGAGTCTCGGGCGGGAGCGGGGGTCCTGGCTAAATTGTAAGGAAATCTCAGGCGGGAACCGTTGTTGTTGTAACCCGGGGGCCAGGGGCCCAGTTTGAGCAGGAAGACTTTCCCTGTCAAAAAAACAAGGTGCGAGTGTCGAGGGGCACACTTTGATTGAAAAAAAGCAGTATGCACCAGTGGGGGGGATCAACAATAATTATTCTTCAGAAATGAAAATTCAACAACGGCTCCCGCCTGAGACTTCCTCCAAATTTACTCATGACCCCCGCTCCTGATACTTCCTCACAATTTATTCAGGATCGGTGCTCCCGCCTGTGACCCCTCGCAATTTAGTCAGGAACCCCTCTCCCATCTGAGACTTCCTCACAATTTACTCAGGAACGGCGCTCCCGCTTGACACTTCCTTGCCATTCAATCAAGACTGTCTCGCAATTTAATCAAGACCCCCGCCCCCGCGAGAGAACCCCAGACATTTGATTCAGGAATTGCGCTCTCGCCTGCGTCTTCCATGCAATGTATTCAAAATCGCGCTTTCGACACCCAGGAAACACGCTGCGCCAAGGACGCCGTTACAATTTACTTAGTAATCGCGCTCTCGTCATACTCAAGGATCCCGCTTGACTGTCCCACCCGCCCGACCCGCCCGTCAGGGGATCGCCCGCCCGTCGTGGGCTCTCGCCCGAAACTTCCTTCAGGAACGGCGCTTTCGCCTAGGACTTCCTCGAACGTTCATGCTCTTACCTTCCTGGTCCTCTTCCCTCTCCCTCCTCCCTCCTCCCTCCTCTCCTCCCTTTTCTCTCCCTCCTCTCCTCCCTCATCCTGATGCCTCTCTGCCCTATCCCCTCTCCCTCCTCTCCCTCCTCCCTTCTCCCTCCCCTCGCCTGCCTCCTCCCTCCCTTTCTTTATTGTTTCTTGTGTTTTTTTTTGTTCTCTCTCTCTCTCTCTCTCTCTGTTTCTCTCTCTCTCTCTCTCTCCCCCCTCCCTCTCTATTTCTCTACCTCTCTTACTCCTAGTTGTCGTTATATATATATATGTGTATATATATATATATGTGTGTATCCTCTCTCTCTCTATCTCTCTGACTCTAATCAACCGCCCCGCTCGTCGCTCCTTCTCTCCTGGCGTTTTCCCTCGTCCTTCGTCCCTCCCCCTCCCTTCCTCTCACTCTCCCTCGTTCTCCCCCTCCTCTTTTTGTAGGGCCCACACCAATTCCAATGGCGGGCACATGTACGCCCACGAAGGATTGTTCGCCCGTTCAGGTTTGCCCGCCTGTCTAAGCCCGCCGCCCCCCGCAAAGAGAAAGAATCCCCCCAAAGGGGGTGTAATCGAAGACAAAAAGGGCGGGTATCGAGGGTGTGGGGATTTCGTTTTGAATGACACACGGGAAAGTAAGAGCGAATAGTCTTAGAATGATTGGTGTTGTTGTTGCTGGTGCTGTTATTGTCGGTGTGATTGTTGTTGCTCGTATTGTTATTTCTTGTTCGGTCGGAACGTTCTCGGTCCTTCACACATGGTGCTGCCGCTGGAGCGCCGGCCACGTTCCAGGATCGGTGATCGACTTCCGTCGTTCAAAACGGCGCTCTGGCCCAGCGCGGGCCACACTTCCGGATCCGATTCGTTCCGAGGCGTTGCATCCCCCCCTCATCTCTTCTCCTCCGCCTCCTGATCCTCCTGCTCCTCCTACGCACTTCTCGTGCCCCTGCAGTACCCTATCCTCATCTCCGATTGCATAGCTAGCGATGGGCGATGGGTCACCTCCTGCAGCTGCCATTCGGAAGTCAAGGTCCTCCAGGACACCCCAGTCGGCGGATGGAAGATAACTCAACGCAGTGGGAGGGGATGGTTCAGATGAGTAGTATGTCTGATGTGGCGTGAGCGCACCTGGCTTGCCTCTCTCCGCTCTCCTCTCTTTCTTCCTCCCTTCTCCTCCTCCTCCTTCTCCTCCTCCTCCTCCTCCTCAGACCCCCGATCCGCGCCTCCTTTCTCCTTTCTCTTTCTCCTCCTCCTCCATCCTCCTCCTCCATCCTCCTCCTCCTCCTCCTCCTCCTCCTCTTCCTCCTCCTGTCTCCTTCTTTCTCCTTCCTCCTGCTCCCTCCTCCCTTTGTAATCCTCCTTCTCCCTCCTCCTCCTCCTCCGCCGCCTCCTCCTCCGCCTCCTCCTCCTTGCCCTCCATCTCCATCGAATTTAGACAACCCGGCCAGAAGATGAAACCACGACCACCCAGTCTTGTTCCGCAGCAACGGCTAGGAACCTCTCGTCAATGCCGCGGCTCGTCTGAGTCAAACTGCCTTCTGATGAAACGCGCGCATCCTCCTCCTCCT